CATATTTTTATATTTTTTATTTTTATCTGCCTTTCAGTTATCCATTAAATAGCTACTACTTTCAAATTGTTAAATTTCACGTGTTGTTTTTTCTCCTTTTTGTTAGTATTCTCTTATTTTTCCACTTCAGCAAGTGTTTATTGAGTACCTACTATGTGCAGATTTCCTGCTATGCTGAAAGTGATCGTTCAGATTTCTTTCCTTCTTGCCTTCCTACTGTTCTTGCCCTTCTGCCTTTTCTTTGCTCCTTCCTTCCATCTTTGCTTGCTTCTTTCCTCATTGGTAGCTCACTGTGTAAGGTCAGGAGGGGACAAGGGATGTTGATGTGGCTCCTGTACCGTCTTCCAACAAGCAAAACTGTGTTTATAAAGTGTACTGTCTAATTGTTTCTAATAGACATAAAGGTCTTGATACTCCTTATAATTGAATTCTTCTTTCTAACCTTTCCCGAGCCTCACTTATGGCTTGTGGATTGTAGACACTCAATCACATTTGCAGAACTGAAATGGAATGGAATGCAAACTGTCAGTATTTTGAACAGTAAGAAGGTTCAGAAGGCATTGGGGAGGGGAGGCACAAAATTGTATATGGTCTCAGATCTGACGACAATCCTAATTTATATTACAAAGTTTCTGGAAGAAAGTGATGAATATTCTTTAAAATCACTTAGCTCATATTAATCCTAGAAATGTAAGTAATAATCAGGGCTTGCAATGAGAAGGGAAATAGATGGTTTGTGAGTTCTCTCGGGTGAATAAGCTTGATGAAGCTGATATGAAGTGGTATGTGGTTAGAACAAAGGCTTTAGAAGCTGATGGGTGTGATTGAGTAATGGCTTTTCTGCCCCTTTGCTACTTCTCTCTAAGATGAATTTCTCATGTAAGATGGGGATATTAATTCCCAAGATTATTGTAAGAATTTCTAATATATGAATTATTTGAATATACATATCTGCACTTATATCTTAAAGTTTCAATTGTTCTGATTTGGGATACTGCCAACTTGATGGAATTATGACAATATGGAACTAAGCACTTGCTTTGCCAAAGTCAGCAAAGTCAAAGAGTAGCATGATTATGACTAAGTACTGGAGAGCCTGGTTCTTGCACCTTCTTATTAGGTCCATCTTAGGTTGGCAAGAACCTGTCTTGGAGCTATCCTTCCAGTGTCCAGAGTTGGCAAAGAACTACTTAACCATCACTTTCCAGCAAAAGTCGGATTCATTTTCTTTTGCCTAGCCACTGTCTCAACCCATTTATTAGAAAACACTAATTTTACATCATCACTTGTGTTGTTCTTCAACTCTTCAAATGTTTTCTAACTTTTGTATGAATCCTTTAAACAATTAACTCCAGGAAATACTAATTACTCAGTTGTGTATGTGTCAAGAAACTTTATTCTTAAATACAGAGAGATTATATAATTTATTATAATCTCTTGCCAGTCTGATTAGTGTATTCAAAACACTATTTGAAAGGGACTAGACTACATTTTTCCTTTTCTCCATCTTGAAAAGAATATAAGCTAACATAGGAATTCTCCATTTTCTTTGTGGTCCTGAAATATAATTTTTTTAAAAATGTGATTTTGAAAAAGGCTTGCATATAGCTTCTTGCCTGTTGAACCTAAGATGGTTTATGTTGGCTTGAGAGGGAGAAGACATTTCCTTGATTTTTCCATGAGCCATCTGTGTGACAGTGGAGCAGTAACAAGTTTTGGTAAGCTGAAATTGTTTACTTGAATAGTTTGCAAGCCAGTTTTAAGTTAAATTTTTTAACCACCTTCATCATCTTATCCACCTAGAGAAATCATACATTTAAAGGTAGTATGTTTCTAGCAGTAAAAACCTTTCTTTTATTACAATTAATCAGTCTATTCTCTTCCTGTTTCATTTGAATGATTTAGTATTTTAGATGATTAAATCCCCAATTCATTAGATTGTCCTAATTTAACCGTAAACTGGATTTACAATTAGGAGATTATGAATTTTCTTAGTTTAGACAAATATTGATAAACATGCATTTAAAAATATTTATTTATTTATTTTAGAGAGAGAGTGTGTGAGCAGGGGGAGGAGCAGAGGAGGGTGGTTAAAGAATCTCAAGCAGACTCTGCATTGAGTGTGGAGTGGGACAGGGGGCTCAATCCCCTGACCCTAAGATAACAACCTGAGCCCAAACCAAGAGTCAGAGGCTTAACCAACCAAGCACTCAGGGGCCCCAACATGTAGTATTTTTAAAAAAGCAAATTCAGAGATAAATTCTTTACAGATAATTGGTAACTTTCTAAGGGATTCACATTTTATCTAGACAGAGAACTGTCACAGCGCATTTCAAACTATGTTTTGGAGGACAACATTGGGAAGCTCACACAAATTTTCCAAAGCACATTGTGCTTGCTTAAAGGCACACCAGTGGGCAAGTGGAAGGACAATGTGGTGGGATGAAATCAGACAACCAGCAGGAGAGTAGCAGTCATTGGAATAATAAGATAAATGCATTGTGGGTCTCCATGGCAACCAGGGACCCCAGCTGATCCTCTGCCCCTCCAGCGTTGTGTAGAACAGCCCACCTGCGCCAAATCTCCCCTTGCTGCAGAAACAAATGTTCTATTGCTATATTAAATTGTTCCAAGGATCCAGGTTATGAAACAGTACCAATTACTTTAGCTGAATCTAAATCTCTAATGCACTTAACAAGAAATGTTTCTCTAATAAATATTATCAATTTTAAAAAAGATACATTTAGAATGAACACAGAGGATGAAAATACATTTTCATGCTACATTTACAATTCATTAAGCCTCCCAGGGTTATTTGTTCTGCAAGTGAGCTGACTTGTTTTCCAGCAGATTCTTGGGAGCAGTAATGTCCACCCCTCTCCAGCGAATGTCAGAAATGGGGAGAGGGGGCAGTTCTTTTAGTGGCCTGGAAAGGTTTCCAGAAGTCTTCCGTTTCCTCAGCATTTCCGATCTGGCTGTGTCCTCTTTATTTATGCCACTTACTAGCTCTGGGTGCACAGACCATTTTCTTAATCTCACTGTGCCTTACTTTCCTGTCTATAAAATAAGGGTAATAAATAAACTTATCTCACATAGCCATTTGTCAGGATCAAACGAGCTTACATATATTAGAAGGCTATCATAGCATTCAGTGATATTTGCTATTATCATAATTGTCCCTTCACCTCAGATAAAATATTTCCTCTTAGTTTTAATTTCTGATCTCGTATACTCAAGAAAATTTCTCTTGCTCACTTCATCTCACTTATTTTCAACTTGATTGTAGACTGCATAAATGTGGACACATTTCTTAAGAGATCTTTGTCGTTTTAGATCAAGGCTATACCCTTATAAAGTGTTTGAGCAAATAAAAAGATTGAGACTGACTTTGGCCTTCTTGGCAGTGTTACCCAAAGGAGATAATTAGTTATAGACAAACAAATTACACTGGAGTTGAGGATCATGGGATGGACAGGTCTGGTTCATACCATAGTTCCACCAGTGATTAGCTGGGTGCCCCAGAAGAAAAATTTGACTATACTGAGACTCTTTAAAGGATTCTTAAAATGAGGCTATAAGGGGCGCCTGGATGGCTCAGTCGGTTAAGCATCTGCATTTGGCTCAGGTCATGATCCCAGGATCCTGGGATCCAGCCTGGCATCAGGCTCCTTGCTCAGCCACGAGTCTGCTTTACCTCTGCCCTTTTCCCTGCTTGTGCTCTCTCTCTTCCTCTCAAATAAATAAAATCTTTTTTTAAAAATGAGGCTAAGAGTAATTCACAGGATTATTTGAGTATTAGACATCATATATGAAAAGTACAAAGTCTCTAATTCTCACAAATGGTAGCTCTTAGTATTATCATTACTCTAATACTATAATTATTTATTCCTTAACATAAAATTTATTTTAATGTGACAGTCAGGATCCTGATATGTAAGTACCTGGGTCCATGGGGCATACATGTGAATGAATGCTCAATATGTAAGTTCCTCTTCTTGGTGTTCTATTGTAGAAATATTGTTAATACTGGAGTAGAAGAGATTTTGTATTGCAGAATGATGGGGGGATCCCTGTGGCTCAGTGGTTTAGTGCCTGCCTTCCGCCCAGGGTGTGATCCTGGAGTCCCAGGATCAATTTCCACATCAGGTTCCCTGCACAGAGCCTGCTTCTCCCTCTGCCTGTGTCTCTGCCTCTCTCTCTCTCTCTCTCTGTGTTTTTCATGAATAAATAAATAAAATCTTAAAAAAAAACAACAAACAAAATGATGGAAAAGTAAATGGTAGAAAAAAGAAAAAGTGCTAAATATATAGTGAATTCATTAAGACATGTTCAGCCAAATATACATATAATTCAATATATACATATGATATATGTATATTATCATCAGTTATCTCAAGCATTGAGATAGATTACTGAATAAGAAAACATATGAAATACAGAATATAGAAAAAATACTTTGAACTTTTTGTGAAAATTTAAATAAAATATTTATGATATAAATTATCTAGTAGAAAAAGTGGGTTTGGGGCAGCCTGGGTGGCTCAGCGGTTTAGCGCTGCCTGCAGCCCGGGGTGTGATCCTGGAGACCCGGAATTGAGTCCCACGTCGGGCTCCCTGAATGGAGCCTGCTTCTCCCTCTGCCTGTGTCTCTGCCTTTCTCTCTCTCTCTCTCTCTCTCTCTGTCTCTCATGAATAAATAAATAAATAAAATCTTAAAAAAAAAGTGGGTTTGGGGAACCTGTGTGGCTCAGTTGGTTGGGCATCCAACTCAATTTTGGCTCAGGTCATGATCTTGAGGTTGTGAGGCTGAGCCCCCATTTAGGCTCCACATTGGTTGTGGAGCCTGCGTGGGATTCTCTCTCTCCCTCTACACCTCCCCCATCCCACACACTTTCTCTCAATCTTTCTCTCTCTAAGTTAAAAAGAAAAAGAAAAAAAGAAAAAAAAGAGGTGGGTTTATAAAAGAATCTTTTTGTTGTTGTTGTTGTTGTTGTTGTTACCTGTGCTGGAGGCACTAATTCCAACTCGGAAGCTGACTCAGAGTTCAGGGCGCTTTTCCCACCACTTAGTTCTGGTTGAGATCTGTGCTCTGAGGACCTATAGGGGTTGAATAAAGGAGATCAATGTACATCAAGAAACAAATTCAGCTGGAAAACCAGTCAAGAAACCTAGTTAATCTGGATCACTGAGAGCCATGATAACAAAGCTCTCATCAGAATTTCAATGAAAAAGATATTTTCTATATAATAACGACCACTTTCGAAATTTAAGTGGCTGCAGTGTGCTAGGTGTAATTGTCTCCGATTGATTTAGAATTCTGTTCAATTATGTACAAACAGTAAATAAATGCATCTAGTTTTGTTACAAACAGATTTGCTTTATTAAAAGTATTGTGTTTTGGGGAGGGGAGTACCTCACAAAGTGTCCCAAGTGTGATTTGATCTTTATATAGAACTTGAAATGTCATAATAAATAGGGGCAATAGGAGACTGAGGCATGCTGCCCTTTAGGAAGCTTTAAAAGCATGGTAAAATTAAGGTAGCCAATTTTTCTCATGGGCACCCACAGATTATTGTTAATTAGTACATTACCTGACAGTGATGATTAAGATAGTCAGGAAAGGTTACCTGTTACCAGGTACTTTTTTCTTTTTTTATTGTTCATATATATATTTAATTTTATTTAAATTCAATTAATTAATATATATTATTGGTTTCAGAGGTAGAGGTCAGTGATTCATCAGTCTTATATAACCCCCAGTGCTCATTGTATCACGTGCCCTCCTTAATGTCCATCACCCAGTTACCCCATCCCTCTACCATCTATCTTCCCTTCCAACAACACTCAGTTTGAGAAACATTTACTTTAACTACCTTTTATGTAACATATTGGATATGCACACATATGTACATATATGTATAAACCTATTTTTATGGATCAACTCAATTATACAATCAAAAAATTATCAACAAATATTGGATCCTGAATTATGAACCTACCAAAATCATTTTTGGCTGAATTTTTGATAATTTAGGTGAGATACTTAGTTTTAGAAGCCACAACAATTAACACTGATACCGAGGGTTAAACATGGCACCAGATATTTGGACTGACTGAACTCATTAGCTATTTCAGTACAGGAGAAATACCCATACAGCTGATACACCATTAGCTATTTTGTGATGTTAAAATATCTTACCATAAGAGTTCTTTTGATCCAGTTCTAGATGAGCATGATTTTCTCTCTGCCATTGGATGCCCCTTGCTATTTCGATCTCCGTGAAACTTAACATCATCCCATTTTTCCAGTTGTGTTTGAATGTCTATGAAGGAGATAGGAATGGGGTAAGAGGGACAATGGATTTTACGAAGTACAGAGAGAAGTAGAGAATTTAAGATTAAGAAGTCTTATACAAGTGAACTTCACTCAACTGATGCTCCTAAGCCCAAGACCAACTTTTTAAGATTGCATGAAAATTAATTAAAACATGTTCAGCTAAATAAAAATGAGACCTATTAAGATAAATTGATTTGCTTTTAAACAATAGAGTTGTTTTATCTGAATTTACTTCAAGAGCTATGTGCATTCTGAGTTCTGTGTATAAATCCATGGAATCCCATGAGAATGAATGTGTAGAGTACTATCCCGTCTGCCTCCAGCTGAAGAGGTGGCTTTGAGGCAGTCTGGCATGTTTCTAGAAAGAAATTCTATTAAAAGAGATGAACCTGACTGTTAAAAGAAGATAGGAAGGAACTGGAACACTTTTCACAGCTTTTGTAAAACTGCTTAATTTTTCATCAATTGAGGGAATGAATAATGGGAATAGAAAGAAGGGAAGCAATGGAGAAAGTCAAGAGAATGCTAGAACCATTTTCTCCCTGTGTTTTAATTCTTAAGAACTTGGCTAGGTTTGTTCTCATTAACAGGTGTGTGACTGTAAATAAATCACTTAAACAGCTCTGAGCTCCAGGTTTTTAATTTATAAAAAGATAAGTTTGCAGTCAGTGTCCTCCAAAATTTTTAAACTATTTTTATGACTTCTTCATATGACATTTTCTCAAAAGCAGAGAAATGAAAGCTTCATTTTATAGTTTATTGTGTTACGTTGTAGTACATTGAATAATATATCCTTACATAAGTGTGTAAATTTCATTATCCATCAGTACAACTGAAAAATCCTAAAGCTTTCCTCCAAAGAGACAGGCCTCAGAGAGGGACATGGCAGGGGAAAGGGGACATGTTATTCCTGGTTTTCTGAAGTAACTGTCACTTTCCTTCTCCTGAGAAAGGAGACTATAATTTGGCTAGTTCCATGAGATGGAGTTAAGCTCTCCTTTCTCAGGAAGATATATAGTAGATAAAAGTATGGGTTTTGAAGTTAATCAGAACTAGGTTCAAATTCCAGGTCTTTCTCATACTAACTGAGATGTTAGTTACTTCAGGTTTAAGTTATTTAAATTTGAAAACCTGGGTCCTCTCTTATTTCTGAGTTACAGTGAATTAATGGGCTAATGCATGTAAATCATGTAGCATAGCCCTGGACATGATAAGCCATCAATAATTGGTAGCTGTTGTTATTATATCAGATACATCCCCATGCATGTTACACGTTCTGGCAGGCTATTCATAGACCTTGTGTTAAAGCTGTTCTCTCTCTCTCACTCTACTGGCTATCTCTCACTCTGGACTAAATGCTCCTAGAGTGCAAGATTCATGTCTCATTCTTACTTGTAATTCCAATGTCTCATATGGTACCTGCCATCTATCAAGAACTCAATACATGCAGGTTGAATAAATAAATGAATGAATCCACATCAGTTATGCAAAATTGAACTCCCCAAATACTTTTTTTTTTTTTAGATTTTATTTATTCATTCATGAGAGACACAAAGAGAGAGAGAGAGAGGCAGAGACACAGGCAGAGGGAGAAGCAGGCTCCATGCTGGGAGCCTGATGCGGGACTCCATCCCGGGACTCCAGGATCACACTCTGGGCCGAAAGCAGGTGCTAAACTGCTGAGCCATCCAGGGATTCCCCCCCCCCCCAATACTGTTTAATTCAAGCACAAAAGAAGTGTGTGCTGCCCATATTCCTTCATGGAATTAATCTTTTCTACTCCTTTGCCACATGGTCTTAATATCATTTGTGGAACTTCCTTGTGTTAAGGCAAGGGCCAGCAGCAGCAGACACATGGTATTACCTTACCTAAATCTAAGGATGATGTCTCTGGGCCTCGGACAGACTGGCCTCTCTGTTCAGCATCTGCACTGATGAGATCAGATCCATCAGCCTTTTTCTTGAGGGACGAAGTTTTCGATGAGGCCTCCAACTTCTTGGCTTTGGTTTGGGTTTGAGAGACAGGTTCACTCAGGTCAAGGAGATCCAAACCTGTGGTCAGTACTATCAGAGACAGAAAAGGTTAAGATAAGCTCACTCACTGTTCTGAAATTATTTTTTAAAAATAGGTTTTAGTTGGTTGCAGAAGGATTTTGTGGTTGTAGTGTAGGTTAGAAGTATCAAATCAAGCTAGCTCCCTATTGATTTATAAAGATGGCCTGTATTTAGACTGAGAAGTTTGCTACATGTTCTCCTTTATTTGACACAGTACAAACCCACAAGATGGGACTTAGAGCAGCCTCACCAGTGATAAAAGTTTAAATAAAATTAAAATAATAAAATTGAATCTAAATTCAGGTATCACTTACTTTATTGTTTTGCCTTATTTATAGAGAGGTGTATTTTACAGTGCAGTTTTCCCAGAGAAGAGTGTATCATATTCAGAGACATGTTTGCAAAACAGTTATGAGGAAGATCTGGAAAAGTTTCTAATGTCTTTGTATTTTAAATTTCAAACTTTGTGTATACTAAAGTATACAGGATATAAAGGAATGTTGTTAATCATTGCTTATTTAATTAAGCAGTTCAATCAGAAAACAGCTTGCTGTTTGGGCTCACACTAGAGAAGTATCTCACAATCCATAGCTGATGAGTAGATACACATGTTAATGCCTTTGCTGCTTAATATGCAAATTTAAATTTCCATGTAACGAACCATAAAATGGCTACACTTTCACTTCCTAGCAGGTTGATTACATTGCATTAAATACAGTAATGAAGGCAGAAATAATAATTTGTTCAGATGCAAAGTAGGCAAATAAGGATGAAAAAGGCAAGTTTTGTAATTCTTCCTCCTTCTTTCTCTTACCATGCAAGTCACCAGGGTTTGACTAGTTCATCTTGAGAAATGGAAAGTTCCAGTTAAGGGAGGTCCCCTCCAGCCCTGCCACTCCCCTGGTTCACACACCTGAAATGCAGGCTTCTGGACTGGCCTGGTGGCTTCCTGGCCTGCGATCTCTTCACCCAGATAGTGTAGGAAAGCCAACAAAGTGACAGAGAAATCCTGGTGTTAATCCTCTCTTGCACGGTCTACAACAGAGGCTGCATGTACCACTTCTCCTCTTTGACCTCTCAGATCACCCTCTTGGTAAGGAATGGATTTTTGCTGGTATCTTAACACTCTTCGACTTGCTTCCCCCTTGCACTCAAGGCACAGTCACGGCTCAGTGGACTTCACATCCTGGATTTCTCTAGTACCATACTGTCCTCATGAGCTAACCACCCCTATAGGATCTTTAAGATTATGTGTCAAGCTGTATTCTAAATAGTCTCCTTTGCCTGATTTCAATCACAGGGGTGGATGTTAATGGTGAAGTGGAAAGACCAGGCTCTAGCTGCTTAGCTGTGTGGCTCCGAGTAAGTTTCTTGACTTTGCTGAGTTTGTTTCGTCCTCTGAAAAATGCAGATTAAGCCTCAAGATGAATTTATCTAATTTGTATATTGAATGTGTAAAGTGCCAGGCATACAATAGGTATTCAGTAAATGTGATTTCCCTTCTCTGGTGGCCACTTTGTGATGCTTTTCTTTCTTTTTTGTTGATCTCCTCCTAGTCTCCCTGCTTTTTTTCTATTTTGGGCAGGAAGCACATCCGTACATTGACAGAAAGGAGAAACACTGCTGGGAATAAAACAGACCGAGACAAAGATATCGGTCTACAGAGGATGCTATGAGGTACATTTATCAGAAAATGGCCTGCAAGCATCAGCTTATCTCATCTGAGCCTTCCTGAGGAGATGGGAGCCAATTCCCTATGCTAAGATGCTCTGAGATAGGCCAGCAAGCACCTCAAATGGGAGGGAAAGAAGTGGCTTTGAGAGCGGAGCTGCCTGGCTTGCTTTTAAGCATGGCAAGCAGCCAAAATAGGCTAGGATGTAACAACACATTTCATATTCTTTGAATGTTTAAGCAGAAATTTCCAGGCCACTGTTAAGTTGGCAGAGATTCTAGGCCCACCAAAATTCCCTTGTAAGAGAAGGAAGGAAATGGTAAGTCTCTGGAACACCATATATGTCTTTTTACTAATTGTACAAACAATTAGGAATTAGTTACTTGTTCCTATACTTCTTTTAGAAGCAAATTATACAGGACTTGTCTATTCATATATACGAAGTACGTTTGTTATGGAAAAATAACTGGTGAGTATTAATTTAATTCTATATCTGCTTCTCACCATTCAGAACAAATGAATTACTAAAAGAGTGAATTGCAATATCCAACTTGGCTCTGCAAGTCTTTCCCTCTCCAAACTAGCCTGGGCACTTCCTGTGTTGGTTCTGAGCTCTCTGTTCCTTTGTTCTTTGCCCAGCAATTGTGAAATAAATGCTTGGCACACACAAAAAGCCCTATTTGTTACCCAGTTGATGAAGAGGGTGGCTTGGGGGTGAATGGTAAGCTTTGAAGATGAGAGAGTCCCTGGGGATTACAATTTCAAAAGCATAGAAGGATGGGTGCAGCCTTTTACTTTCTGGAGGAAGACAAATTGCATTTTAGCAAGTGTGTGTGTGTGTATGCGCGCACGTGTGCATGCACGCGCACATGCACACGTGTGTTGCACACATATGCACTTCAGTTAAGACTTAGAAATAAAGGGCCTCAGTGTTCCATATGGACTTCAAGGAGAGCATATCTTGGCATGGAAAGGGATATTTGCTCTGCTGATTTTCTTAACCCAATTTTAAAGATTCTCTTAGACACATGAAAGCTTGGGTTCCAGAATCTGTGTATTTATATCAAGATAGTCACCTCTTACAATGGATGTGAAAATGTGTGTGTATGTGAGTGTGTGTTTGTGAGAGACAGAGAAAGATAGAGAGAGACAGAGTGACAGACTTGAAGATAATATGTTGCTGGCTTTGGAAATGGAGGAAGGGGCCACAAGCCAAGGAATTCTAGGTGGTTCCAGAAGCTGGACAAGGCAGGGAGACAAATTCTCCTTTAGAGCCTCCAGAAGGAATTGGCTTTGCTGACACCTTGATTTTTATGACTATTGACTTCCAGAATTGTAGGATAATAAATTTGTGTTATTTTAAGCCACTTAACTTGTGGTAATTTGTTACAGCAGCAATAGGAAACTAACACAGTTCATAGGTCAGTGCCCATGCGAGGATGCAAATACAGGCTCTGTCACTCCTAAGCATGTGTTTGTCACCACTCCTCCTCAGACTTTATCTGAACCTGGAGGCAATGTGCTGACTTCATTGATATGGGTTTGGTTAGTTTTTGCTTAGCTCCCAGTTATCTGGCAGTCCAAGGCATAATTTAAATTAACTGATAATCTCAGAATTTTTTTTTTTTGATCAGCTAAGTTCATTGGGTAGAATTTCCTGAAATGGAGGCTGTAAGATGCTTTTAAGTATTTGTTTCCATTTATCTCAAGGACACCTGATTGAGGATCATAACCTATTGAACTAGAAGGCTCCTACGGGGCGCTGAAGATGTTTATGAATGCTAGATTACTTGGGCTGTGGGAGGTGAGGCTACTTAAAACAGAAAAAAATTGAACCTATCATGAAGCTCTGATTTGATGCTTTGATGGTAAGCACAATGCTATTTACACCACCACAGTATAATGAACCTCAGATTTTTAGTGAATTTTTTTTTAAGGAATACATCTACATGATGTGGTCAGAGAGGCAGATCAGGGGACAGTCCTGACTGGTGCAGTCACAGAATGTGCCACAAGGAGCTGATAGGATCTCTGTTCTGTTTCATAAGCTACCCTGGCATTCTAGAACCATGGTATTCTTTAATATAATAAAGGCTACAAAACAAAGTCCCTTAGGAAGGATTTTGTCAGTGATGCCAGATAGATACATTGGATTTACATAATTCAATGAATTTTTTATTATTTTATTGGAATATGTAATTAAAGCTACTTCCCAAATTTCTAAGTTCTCTCAAGACGCAGGACATTGGGTTCATTGCTACTTGGGCTTCAAAAAGACGTATTTTGCAAATATTACACTGATTTTGCAATTAAAATACTTAATTAGTGGCTGTGACAGGAGCATGAACTTTGTTAAGGGTAGCTTTTCCCTTCCATATATGGGTCTCTTATAGAGGTATAAAGGTCCTATATTAAGGAGTGAAAAACATTTTTTTTAAACCATGAAAAATGTTTCTTCTATAATAACTCTCCACCTAATGGCTCAGTTGAGGGATAAAATTTTTAGATCATGCAGATTTATCAAGGCAAACCAAAGACCTCCTGTTTTTTTTTTTTTCTTGGTCTTTAGGAAAGAATCTTTATTGTACTTTGACATATGTTAGATTTTTTTGGGAGATTATAGACTAAGAAGTCATTATTGGAAATTTCAGTTGTCCTATAATGTAATCATGATCTTAAAACATCCTTGTCTAGTTACATTCCACGCGTTTGATACAGGCACCTGTGATAATACATATTTATTTGCCATTTTAAAATCAAGGATATTAGCAATGATCTTAGCCTACCTACCATCTAGGGATACAGTTTGAGAGGGCCAAGCAATTAGCTATCATCTAGATTGAAGATAAGTTAAAAAATAATTAAGGTGTCAATGGCAAAGAAACTAAAAACATCCATATTTGATCAGCTTGATATTGTCACTATTGGATGACAAAAAGTTAATCCTAAAGTAGAAACAAGTAGAAAATAAAAAAGATATTAAGTACTTAAGAAAAAGATTATAATTTAGAACTTCTATGAGGCAGGGGATTGATATGTTCTTTTAAGGTCAGTAGAGGAAAAAACCCTATCACTTGAATGTCATTTGGAAGAGATAAATATTACCTATGTTGTATTCTGTGCAGTTTATATAAGAAGGATACTCCTTAAACATTTAAGTGAATGTTATGATGGTGGTGATACACTAGCTTTATTTTTTCATTAGAAGAAAATGCCAAGTATAAATGCCTCTCTTAACACAAGATTCTTCAAATTTCTTCATTGATTTGGTACAAACTTGAAGCAGGTTTTATTCTGTATTTTACTCCAAGATTGTTTAATATCCATTCTGTGAATGTAAAGATATTCATAATACCTGGGATGTAACAGACACTTAAACTTCAATGACTGTCTTGATTTCTCTCAATGTAATTTCATACTATTTTATAAAATGACAATGTTCTATTTAAAATTACTGTTTTTTCAATTAAAAATTTGGACAGAAAATGATAACTGTATCTTTTGCCCCGAAATCTTAGTTATAAAATTCCAAGACCAGATTTAGAATTCCTTCTAAGGTGTTTGTATGCTAAAATCTTTCCTGCTTAAAAACATATAAAAATGTTGCATATTGAGATGCTAAATAGTGGGTTCTGTAATATTTTTTGAAAAGTGTATTTCTTGGGATGCCTGGGTGGCACAGTGGTTGAGCGTCTGCCTTCGGCTCAGGGCGTGATCCCGAGTCCCAGGATCAAGTCCCACATCGGGCTCCCTGCATGGAGCCTGCTTCTCCCTCTGCCTATGTCTCTGCCTCATTCTCTCTCTGTGTCTCTCACGAATAAATATATAAAATCTTAAAAAAAGTGTATTTCTTAGGTATTAAAAAATATACAGCCTCTGCCCTGAGATACACTTCTAAGATTAAAAAACACTATCAAACAATAGTCTTCCTTCAGGATAAAAATCTGTGTGACCCAGACGCACTGAGTGCTGAGGACAAGGAAAGAAAACTTCACAGTCTCAAAATACCATTTTTCTTGAACACCTGCTTTGGAGGGTGTTGCGGAATGAACTGTGTTTCCCCCCAAAAGCTATATGTTGGAGTCTTTACCCCGAGTACTACGGAATGTGACTTATTTGGAAATAGAATTTGTTAAGATGAGTCACATTGGAGGAGGCACCTAATCCAATATGGTATGTGTCCTTATAAAAATAAGAACTTTAAATGCAGAGACAGACACAAACACAGGAAGACATGCACACAGGGAGAATGTCATGTGAAGATTGGAGTCATGCTGTCACAAGCCAAGGAACTACCAGAAACTAGGCGAGAGGCCTAGGACAGTTTCTTCCTGAGCACCTTCAGAGAGAAGAGGGCCCAGCCGACACCTTATTTTTGGCCTTCCATCTCCCAGAATTGTTAGACAATAAAATTCTGTTGTTTAATCCACTCAGTTTGTGGCATTTGTCATGAAAGCCTATAGAAAGGCAATACTGTAGGATTGCAATAATATGAAATTACATATTCTTTTGAGTTTTTTTTTCCTCCAATATTTTGTAAGTCTCTTTTCATATGTTAGAAAAGTCAAGATGAAAAGTGGCTTTTGAAAACCAAATGTTATGTTGCTGTATCTGGTGGGCCCTTCCCAAGTGACTCAGTTTTAGCCTCAGTGGAAGATGGAAAGGGGAGAAGGTACTAGAATCAATATTTGAGAATTCTATGTTTTGCAGCTTTTTTTTTTCTTTTGAAGAGTGGGAACTTCTCAGTGCATTGAATTCTCATGGATTTTCCTGAAATTAGAGACACAAGTCTCCTTTGTATTTTTTCTAAGGGTAGCTCTCCAGTTTCCGAGGGGTAGGCTCCAGTTTCAAAGATAAGGAGGATAGATCTGATCTGGTAGGATCTGAACTAGTTTAATTTCCTGCTTAAATGTACCAAATACAATTTTATTTGCTTGATTCCTCAAAGTGATAGCTGAATATAGAAAATGTTTGCTTTGGTGTGATAGAAAGTCAATGCATCTGAAAAAGAAAGTATTGGGTATATTATTTTTCTAACCTGATATCTAACAGTAATGGTAGCATCTGTTGGAGCTTGCATGATGCTAAGTAAGGGTTTACATAGATTGCTTCATTTCATCTTCCCAAGAAACCTATGAGATATAGATGTTACTATTGTAGATGAGGAAACAGACTTAGTTAAGCAATTTGCCCAAGGACAAGAGCCTCTAAGTGGCACAGCTGGGGTCTGACATTGCCAAGTTTGACCCCAGAGACTGTAGACTACACTCCTACATTAAGTGCCTCTGTCTTGTGTTACTTACTTTTGCTGTTGTAATTTTTAGCATTTAAGAAAAATCACAATTTCCTTCCCCTGCAATTTTCTTCCCTTACTTAAAAGCATAATGAAATATAGCAGGCAACAGCAAGCTGATGATGGGGAAATGGAATGAACTGAACAAGACAGTACATAATTGTTCTCTCCTTTCTCCATAAGCTTTCTCCTGCAATCCAACATAGTCTTTGTTCTTTGACTCTGAACATCATTTTTTTCATCTTTATTTGAACAACATGCCTTTGAATGTGAACACAGATTGAATAAAATCAATGCAGAAAGGCCGCCTCTGATACAAAAGGTGAAAAGTAGCATTTGCGTCAGATCTTACGTAGCTCCCTCAGGGTAAACCCTGATTAAATGACTTAGTTTTAGCAGTGAGAACTGGAAAATGCAGAGGAGACTAGGGGAGGTGTGAATCATAGCAGCAGCAGCCTGCATCCACTCATTGGATGAATTTTTATTAGTGCCTATATGTATGTGCCTATACGGATGACAGTTCACTGTTTGGGTAGATTCAATTCCAGAAGAACGTTCACATAAATTGTCGTAAGAGGAAACAAGTACCAGATTTCCATGGCAGAAAAATGAAACTGGCTCTATAACATTTCAAATCTCTAGGGCTTTTAATTTTGTCATTTCAATCCACTTGAAGGGCCTGGCTACAATTTTATTTTACTGGACTTTTGTCCTACAAAATACTACCAGCCAGAACTTTAAAAAAAAAACCTTGCTCTGAAATAGAGGCTTTTGTTAGAAAGATTTCCTTGTGTCGTGACTTAAGATGCAAAGAGGAAGGATGCATTGCTAATAGCGGTATGCTAAGGTTCAGCAAAGTTGGCTGGGTCAAATACATTGCAGTTTCTTTTAGAATACAAAGGGATTTATTAGTTTATGTGGAATAGTATATGTCCTAAACTTTCATTTGGTTGCAAACATTACTCTCTACTAAAGATGTGTTACAGAAAGAAAATACGCATTTCCCTGTAGTGACCATTAGCTCTACTTGAGGATCCGTTAAAATGAAAGCATTACCGGCTGTGTTGGACGTTACTGGCCTTGCTATCGCCTCCGATTTGGTTTCACAGAGAAAGTCATCAATGGAGGGACTCAAGAGAGGTCTGCTTTCTTGCTGCTCATTCACCAGCTGAGGAAAAACGAACACAGGTATCAAAGGGCTTTGTTAAACTGCAGAATTGGATGAATTACAATGCAGCCTTGCAACAAAATGAGAATAGCAAGCCTACCAATAAATAAATAAATAAATAAATAAATAAATAAATAAATAAATAAATGGGTAAGGGCAAGAAAGAAAAAAAATACCAAGGGATGGGGAATGAGCCTTTTAGCACTGTCAACGTATTTTCGCTGCAGCCAACTTCAGTCTTGAAAGCTTAAGCCTTTTTTTTTTTCTCCTAGAACGATTTTAGAACTATTCTCCAAATTTCAACATGTAGAAAATGACACCTCTCGAATCACCTGCTCTTCGCGTGGATCAAACATTATTGAGACTTGGAATAGTGGCCTCAGACTTTGAGGTGACACATTCTGGTTAGGGTGGGCGGTCCGCATTATGTGAAAAGTGTACACACACAGAGCTGTATGTGTATGGATAATTGTTCTCCAGTTTTTCTTAAAAAGCTCAAGTCATCAATGGGCACATATCCTTCCTGACATTTCCTTGGGATGCTTTTGTGGTGCACGACAAGCATTATTTTGGGAGAGGGGAAAATAGTTATGTTAATTATATAGGTATCTGGTAGATATATTCCTGAAAATCTATATGTAAAAACACAGACTTCTATCAATTCAGTTGTATTGTTCTCTAATTTCATAAGTCTTTCAGTTTGACTTTTAGTTGGTCTCTAATTATCAATAGCAGCCAATTATTTACTTTCAGTTATTTTGCATCTCTTAGAATACAGACTTTCTTAAGTTCTGTTTCCATGGTTAAGGGAAGAAATATACCATGCAAGTGGTTAATCCTGAAATTAATGCTGTCAGTTTTTAAGGAGTTTTTATATTGGCCTTTCTTAAAATGGGCATAGCCATCTAATTTTCTACTTGTTCTAAGAAAAAGATGTGCCTAAAAATCTCTAGATTTTTAAATACATATTTGTAAGGTTGTATTTTGTGAGACACATATCTTATCTTCTTTATTTGGTTCTTCATTTTGAATATAATTAAATTACCTTGTAAAAACAGGGACTAGTAATTTATTCCTATATCACAGCTCTGTGAGTAGATGTGTGGAATGGGCCTAAATGAACTCTAGTTTTAGAAGAGTAAGGTGTTAGATCTCTACAGATACAGCCGTAAACGCTAAAAATATGTAGTCTGAATTTGATAAAAGATTTCTAGAAAGGCCTTTGTCGACATAGACATCTAAATGGAAAAACAAAGGAAAAGGCCTTGTCCTTTTAGGCAGGTTTGTTTATCAAAGGTAAAAGGATTTTTTGGGAGCTTCTCTCTCTTCATGAAATTTTAGACTTATTTTCTGGAGAAAACATCTGTAGCATTCTCAGGTTTTCTCAGCACAGGAAGAAAAAAAATACCAAAGAGAAGGTTATTCAGAGATTCGCGGGAGCCCAGGACTGAGGCATGGCTTTTCCTCTGCCTCGTAAAGCTTGAGTCTCTTCCACACCTACTGTCTAGTTTCTGAGCACACGTCACACCCAGACTGATGGAGTTGTTAGGTCTGCCCAATTCCCATAACTGAGCCGTTCCAGTGGCTCTCTTACATAGATACAAATCAAAGAGGAAATAACAAAATACTTCCTGAATCCGTGTTTTTCAAAGTGTGGAGCACGGTTTGACAGTTGGGAAATGCTGGAGTTGGAGTAGGGATGGTAGCAGGTCTCTGAGGTGAAGGAGATGAAGGGCCAGACTTCAGATACCATGGAAAGGTAATTTGGGAACTGAAAGTTCTTTGGTTTTGATGGAGATATGTAAGATGAAACAAAAAATATCATGAAATCTTTTCTTAGAAGCTCTGAGGTCAGAGGCTATGTCTTACTCATACTTATATTCTTCACAACTTCGAATAGAATGTTTTCATATAAGAGGGGATCAATAAATGCCTACCAAATGGAACGGTGACTTTGTAGAAACTTTGTAGAAACATTGACTTTGCAGAGGATATAAAAATATCTATCTCAAACAGCCCAATTTTGAACTGTGTCTTCCGTTGGATGATTTGGGGAATCATTATTTTAGCCATACTAAGTCCCATTTTATTTGGATTTGTATAGATAAGAATAGCTTTTCACATGGCCCCCTCCTCATTTTCAAACAAAAGTCCTACGGTGACTTGAGAATAAGTAAATCTTTTAGGTCAATAAAAGAAAGTTGCAAACTGAACTGAATCCCCCAAAGAGTTCCCCTCAGCTTTGCTTCCAAATTGTATGCAATTTATTCTCTCCTCATTCAGTGGTAGGATGACTTATTGACTTTCTCTTAGAATTACTTCCTTCAGTTTGAAAATGCTTTATTATGAACTTACCTCATTTCATCCTTTGGGTACAGAGTATATTGATGTTATAAAAATAATAAAAGGTGAGTCCAAATATTTCAACTTTTTAAAATAATTAAGTTAGAGTGATTGCAATTTGGGTCAATTAGTTTATCATAACTGAGTTAACATGACCCATTTCATTAGTTTTTAGGGCCTTTGTCTCCTCACTTTGTTTACATTTCAAATTTTCATTTCTTATCCTCCTTTGTTCCTCTTCTCAATATTTAAATCAGTTCAAAACCTTTCTAATGATGACAGATTCTTACTCCTCTTTCAGGACCTCATTCTATTGGCACATTGTCTGGGAACCTTCTTCAACACTGGGTAGGCAGTGAGTGCCTTCTTACAGCATCTCCATGTTCCCATGTTTTACCCAGTTTTATACTTTAGTTTCACCTGTTTTTCCCCTACTAGACTATGACTTCTTTGAGGGTAGGGATCTTATTCAATTAACTTTTGGATCTCATAGCAACAGTTTAATAAATATTAACTGATTTATAGTCAAACTGAATGGTGGAATGTACAAAAGAATGATTATATGAGTATCCTCAATTTCGTATTGAGTTTGATCAACTCACAGGGAGGCGGTGGTTCTCAGAAATGTTAACCGATTTCCTGGCAGGCTTTAAACCACATCTAAGTCCATTTTCCCTAAGCTTCACATTTAAAAGTTTGGAAACCTAGAGTTACCTAAAGGTTCATTTCCAAATGCAAGGCTTCTTCCAAACGGTCAAGAATGCAAAGGGCTAATGCCTCATGAGAAAAATAAGGGCATAGGCCTGCCCCACACCATCCTTGGAAGAAGGAAATGGACCAAAGCAAATGGGAGGCCAGTGACACTTCAGGACAACATTACCACCTCACTCAGGGATTTTAAGCCAGAGATCCAAATTTGAAGACTTTGAGGGAAAACCCTTACATGGTAAGTAGGCATGGAAATCAAAGAAAATCACTGGAGTAGAAGACAGTTGAGCACTTGCATAAAGGGGTTTCCTGGTCACCCAGAATTCAACAGACTATTGAACCTTTACACTTTCCTTGTAAACATAGGTTGTGAATAAAATATTCAGGCAAATGCCTTCAATTTATGTACATGACTTAGACCCGCCAGTTAATGTGGCTAATATTAGCCACCACAGGACCAAATTGGTTCTTATTTTATGTTAATACTGTGCTTAAGTATTGAGCAGAATGCAGATAATAACATCCAATTTGAAGAAATTTTTATCTGTTTTAAAACATTCTCTAAAAATACATTTGCCTTAGTTCAACTTGAATTTCTCTAATTGTAGTGTTAAAAAATAAATTATTACATAATTTAAGCTACAGGGGACTATTTAACTAAGATGAAAGTATTTTGCTTTTGAAGACTGCCTGAAAAAAAAAAAAAGACTGCCTGTTACTTAACTCCAGTGTATGTTTATATAGTTTGTTTTGTGACTTAAATCTAAGTTTATTTACCTTTAAACAATGTATTGCTTAGGTGTTTCATGAAAAAATACAGAGCTAAAGACTTGTGATAACTTCCATCACTAAGAATTAACTCCAAACCAAAATGCATTTTCCAGGATGAAAACAAGGTCTGTAAATGATAATTAATAATCCATTGTCCCATTCTTTTGCACTTAAAGTTGAAGATCTCAAACTGTTGTTTTAAAGTAAAATATTCTGTGTTTATTTTTAGACATTTTAGTACTTAAAGAGTAATTTTAAAAGTTAAAACACTGAAGCTAGTAAGCTTAAAAACAGTTGACAGTATTTCAGAGATGAACTTTTGGCTTAAAAAATTTGTAATAATATACCAGGTCTCTTACCTCACTTAAATAATAGAAAAAATTAAGATAGCTTTTTCTATATAAAAACATAAATATAATTTTAATAGATGTATTTTATGCATTTGAAAATTCCTTTATTATTTATAACATTGTTGATTCAAAGTATGTGCCATTTTAAGTAGGTTTTCATTCATAATTTTGTAATTGAACTACTTATTTATGGCTTTATTAATCCTATGCAAGTTTAGAATATTGTGTGATGCCCATCAAAATAGTGACGCTGTCAAAACGAAGTTAACTGACTCAATCCATTGAAAAGACGAGACAACTAACTAATTAACTAGCATGCCTCCTTTAAGTATTCAAACTTTGAGAGTTTTGTTGTAGTAACTCTGACACCTGACAGAATTAATTTCTTGTGAGCTAGTAATAGTACTAATAGTTCTGTTCTGTCCCCCTCCCTCCACCCCACGTCCTACATACGGGTCCCAGGGAGTCTTCTTGTAAAAGATAGCCACATAATCACTTTCAACTCTTTGACTTGATCTAAATGTCAACCGGCTATAAATATTTTCTTGACAGAATAGTTAGACTTAAAAAATGTGAATCTATTCATGGGAAAATGAACTGATATTACTGTTTGCAGCCTGGGCAGTACTGTCATTGATGCAGGCAGGGAAATATAAAGCAATTGTTTCAAGTTGGTATATTTAGTAGCCTTGACAATGTTTTTCCAATCAAGGGCATTATTCTTTTCATGTTTATCAGACACACAAAAAATATCAATATCAAGGTAATAAGGAGTGGGTATGGACAGATACACAAAGGCTGAGTTTGTGGGAAAAAAAAAAGAATTCCCCTAGCAAGAAGACTAAAATACATAGTTTTGAGATATTGTACTCTATAGCACAAAATGAGTGGGATATATCTTTCTAAAAAAAAGTACCAGGGGATGTGGTTAAAATGGAAACTTTTAATAGTTCCTTATGAGAAAAAATATTTGCTAACATAATTTCATTCTCACAAAGAATAATAATTTTTTTATGATATAAGTAATCTTTTGGCACATAGTTGTTCCTTCTATACTCAAATTGGATTAACTTATACTATTATAGTGTAGAGGAGTGCCATGCGATAGAAACACCATGAGAACCTGTTAATTGAAAATATTTTAGAAGCCACTTATAAAAAATTGAAAAAAAAACAGTTGAAAAATAACTTTAAGAATGTATTTTATTTCGTGTAGTGTATCCCAAAACTATCATTTCAACATGTAATCAATATAAACATTATTAATGCAATAGTTTATTACTTTCCTTGGGGCTAAATCTTCAAAATTGGGTGTGTATTTTATACTTCGAGTATATCTCAATGGTGCAGATCCACAAAACACTCGATAGCCATGTGTGGCAAGTGGCTCCTGTATTGGACAGCACAGGCCTAGAGAAACTTTTTCCCTCAAAGGACATCCTAGTTTTCCTTCAGACCTTTCATCAATGCACACTTGTTTACATACCACTTGACTTAAAAGTGTTAGTGTAGGGCAGCATGAACCTGAGCTTTTATGAAGTGTCTGACATATTGTTTGCTAATACAGAATTAATAATTAATTTAAACAGAAAGCAACTTTCAGAGGCCCAGCAATTTCTGAGTTCAGGTCACTTGGCCAACTCTTCTGTTGTAGTTTGTTTTGTTCACTGTACTATAAATGACTTCACTGGAGTATGCTTGGCTAAATCCCTTTAAAAGTGATTGTAATGATCACATAATACAAACAATGCTTCAATATAAACTAGTCTACACTTACAACCTGCTGACTGAACACTTATTAAATAAGTTGGGGGCAAGTTAGTGTTTCAAGAACTTATTTTGTGTTTAATCAGTTATGATTGTCTTAAGGACATTATTGAGGGAACAGCAATGAGCTTTGGACATATCTGGAAACTATGAATGAGTGCAGCTGGCATGGACATACCAGTGATGAAGATGAGTCAATGTATTCAGTAGGAGCAGTATGTCATAAGGGGCTTTACAGGAGATGCTGGGACAAACATATTTCAAGACACTAGTACACTCACACAGGATAACAAGTAGGAATGTGGTATGGTACACAGATTGGATGCTATGGTTGCTATGAGAAGTACTCACTTTTTCAGATCATTCTGCTGCTTTTTGGCTTGTGCACGCCACTGGTGCATAGCAGGGAAGAAGCCACTTGTATATAGTGGAAAAAGTATGTCAACTAATAAAGCTGCATTTGACTGAGAAATAATTGTATCACAGCTGTCACTGAATTAATTCCATAAAGTTATCAACACAACAGGTGCATTACATTTTATGAATCAGAATTCCGTTTGCTGATTCATAAACTAGCCAGTATGCAACAAGAATATGATGCATCAAAGAAAGCATTACATAATCTTCATGCAGTAAAATTGTAACTAGTATCTCAAAAACAGTTAATGCAACATTAGACAGGGGTTAAAGGAGCTTGCTACACACAAATGTTCTGAATATGAAAAAATGGTAATAATCACAATTTCTTTTCTAAATTAAAAGTAAAAAATATTATTTTGCATTAAATTTTAAATTCAAGCTTAGAATGATGGAAATTTTGGACCTTTGAAAGGGATTACTGGAAAGCATATAGCACTGCATGGTTTATGGAAAAGAATTTTGGGTACTGGAGGCTGTTCTGACTTTGATATTCTGAATGATATGTTATAGCACCACTGTGCCAATTGCAAATCTGGATAGGGGTTATCTCCTGATGAATATGGCTCTCATTAGCCAAGAACTCCCAACTAGTTCTCACTTTCCATAGTATTTACCTGAGGAACTGTGAGCTATTTTGGACATGGATTCTACAAAGGGCAGGAGATCAGTGTAAAACTGCGTATGTTTTACTCTGTAAATTAAGCAAAGAATAGAGACCTTGATAAATATAAAGCAAATTTCTTTCTAACTACTACTATGTGTAATTGGGAAGAAGCATCTCTTTTTCATGGATAAAAAACTCACAATATAAAATTTATCCCAAAGTCCTAGGAATCTTTGATAACTTTTTTATTATTCAATTTTGATTGTTGTATGTTGTTATGATTTTCATTACTTACAACATAGTGTTTAGAGTAAAATAAAACCACACATGTTGGCAGCAGCTGGGGATGTGATCTGATGATGTTCTAAAAATAAGTTGCCATAATTTAGCTTTTGATATAAATGTCTTTCATGAGGACTGTAAATGGACATGTTTCTAATTCTAGGCATGTTCATATAATTGGAACTGAATCACTGCATTTACTATTGCATTACAGAGAAAAAGAAATGTTTAAGATAACAATTTAATCTAAATTGTAAGATAAATGCAAGTAAAAAATTTTTCATTTAAGAATTTAAAACTGATAGTTCCACAGAGTGGTGATGAGGATATTATACATATTTATGTGGATTTTACAGGGTGTTTCAAAAGTCCCTGAGGACATACAGGATTCACAGTCTCAGCGTGTCTTTGCATACAAATGCAAACTTTTTTCTATACTTGTTATAATAAATGCTGAAAATGGCTCTCATGCGCTTATAATAGAGATGATATTTTTGTTGTCAAGGTCACTAAGTATAAGAAGGGTCACAGATGCCATTTTCTGCATGGGGACAGGGACTTCTGGCTCATTCCTGTAAATTAGTTATCCACATAAATATGTATAGACATATATGTAGTATGCATATAGTCACAACATAAATATATTTAACATTTAAGAAAATTTAGATATTCTACTGGTAAACTGACATATGTATTCAATAGAACTTGTATTTATTCACAGGAATTTGATTTTTTTTTTTTGGTTGTTATTGTTCAAATGTACCATTAGCTTAATTGTTAATTCTTTCCCAAAGTTGTTAACAAGTTTCCTTTATAAAGAAGTAACATGGTTTACTTGCATATACATTTTTTTAAAAAAACTAAAGTTCAGTAATGAAAAGTAATATCCACAAATAACTAAATGATGGAATTAACTTTTTTAGCAATTTTGGTTTTCATTTTATATTGTATAATTGTTTCATTGAAACTGTGTTTTTTAAAAATTGGTTCAAGTTAATGTTTTTTTTTTTCTAGTTAAAAATCACAATGTCTGATATATTAACATATGTCAGCTTCCTACAGGAACCCTATGGGTCTGCCCACCTGTGATGTCATAGTAAGGAGGGGCTTTTCTTCAGCAGACTCCTCCCTCGGTATCTCCTTCATCACCATGGCAACAGCCTTATCTGCCGCCCTAGAGCCTTTTCCCTATAACAGTGAAATCAACAATGACTTGTGTCAGGAGAAATCTTTAATTTATTATTACAAGATATTCTAATGTTTAAAGAGCAATCCAACATAAATGAAGAGGTAGGCTGCTGCAAGTGAATCTTGAGGCTTTTGGCTGAGGAGAAAACACACAAAATCTGAAAAAAGATTATTTGTGAAGTTTTAGTTAGCTACTTTTTCACCTTTACAGCTGACATGCTATATTTAATTTTAACATAGTATTTTATATGTATCATATATTTTAAGGCAATTTACATGACATGAACATAATTTTTATAGTATCGATTTGAAAACACTAGGGATTGCCTATTCATTTACTAATTGTTCCTATAACATCCTTAAGTATTTTGAATGATAGTGAGGAGTCTGAGATAGGGATCAGGATCAGTGTCTGACTTGCACTGAGGGATTTTGCTGGGTAGTCCCTGGAGCCTGTCATTTTTGAGTGGAATGGGCATAAAAACAGTAAAAGTGTCATAAAATCTCTAAAAATTCTTCAGTGGCCTAACATCACAGAAATTCACCCAGCTTGTGTATTTTGTGGAGATGGTATGACCTTGGTGAAAAAAAATTTCAACTCTCAATGTTTTTGAGACCAAAGAATTTTAATATAATTTTAGAAATGTCTTTTAATTGGAGAATTCCATAAATTTAGATGTAAATAAAGGATGATTAATAGTTGAAGCACTGAATATATATCTCCACATTTTTTGTCTCAGACAAGCATAATTTTGTACTGTGAAGGGGTATGCTGGCTTTCTGTCTTTTTAGTTTACCAGATTATTAAGTTTTTGTGAGTAGATATGGCATAATGGAAAAAACAAAACAAAATATCACCTTCCCAACCCAATTAGAAATATCTTATACTATGTAAAAATTAAATAATCTTTAAACATTTTAAAAACAAAAACGTCCATTTTCTCAGGTCTCTGGGCAAAGCCTCCCTAGAAAAAATAATTTATACTAAGATCACACATGAGTATCTGTATTGTAAATCTACTTAAGATACAAATGAAGCATATAGTGATGTCATAGGCAAAGATACAAAAATGGACATATGGGGGTTTGTTATTTAGAAGGGAATTAAGTGCTAGGGACAATATTAACTCCAGAGGTTGATAAATCTTGATGGTTTCCATGCAGCAAAAAAGGATGGAGTTACATTATGATCTTGCGCTTGCACAGGGCTTTAAGTATTTAGAAGGTAGGTTTCCTCTAGGAAGCAAAACTATTTTCTCAGGCATTACCTTTCTAAAATGTAATGAGTGGAAGCTTTTATTAATGAAAACAAAGAAACACTTTCTCTGTAGTTAACTAAATTTTAAAATGTGTGAAGCTCTTTACAATCTGAAGGTTTCTTTGGTTTGTTTTGCCTTAACAGAACTAGCATTACTGAATGATAATGTGTCATCTCACGATGGAATATCAACTACTGAGATATTATTTAGTCCATATAACACAGTAATTTCCATATGTGTTCTGAAAAGTACATATGGCCACAATTCTTAAAATAACTGACTTCTGGAAAAATAAATAAGAAACGATGATTTACTGCATAACAAATTGGGGTGCATAACAATCCCAGGTTTTTTCTTCATGAAGCAATTTGAACTTCCTAAAACAGAGATGTGTACAATTCTGAATTCTGGGAAAATATGTATTGTGGCACTATTAAACTATTTAACATTTTTTCAAAACATAAAAATTATTTGGATGAAACATTACATACTATAAAGTGATATAGCCTTAAAAGCTACACTCATTTACAGACTAAATATAGTTTAACAAATTATCTTTGCAGCTTATTTTTTTAAAAGAGCAAAATCATTTGTGAAGAATTCTTTCCATGCTCCAAGAAGTTCTAATAATATAGCAATAAATAAAGTGGCATGCTTATATTTAAATTCCTAATATATTTAAAAGAACAAATCTAATGTTATAAGGTATAATTTTAAAATAATAATAATAATAATAATAATTCAGAATCTGTTCTTGGGCTAAGAAAAAAATGTCAATTGATAAGCATCTCAAAAAATTTCAGGTCAATATTTCAAGATACCATTTATTTGAAATGCTACCAATCATAAACTACATATAGATATTTTTCACATGTGCAACTATTATAGCTAGAATTAGCAACGGACATGCCATTTCACTAAAACAAAAAACAAAACAAAACAAAAAATTAGTCCTTTCATGCTGAACTCTAGAACAAAGCAGTGGTCAGCTAGAAAGGATGTATAATAAACACATGCGGTGCTTTTTATTTCTTGCAGAAAAACCCACCAAAGCCAGGGTCAGGTCACTTTTTTGAAGACAGTGCCACTTTTTCTTCAAGGTTACACCTACTACCTGAAAAGAGTCATGACACCCATGTTAGTGCCTGCTAGCAACTTTTTTCCCTTATAGCCTTTTGGCTTTTGAGTTATTACCCCATGAGCCTCACTGTTTTTACAAGTGTGCTACAGTTCGAGAACAGAATGGGAAGGTCTGCCACAATGACATCTCCATGGTTCCAGATAGAGTGTCTAATACCACTGCCAAATCAAGTGAATACATTCATATATCAAAGCAAGATTTCCCTTCGGCCATATTGCCACCTCCACCTGGTATTTTAAAATCAAGCTGTGTTATTTCTGACTTGTCCATTTATCTTGGGGGGTAACACTTCTAGAATTCAGAATCTGGCTGATAATTGATTTGGCAATTCACGGAACTGTTCAACTTTGCTTATCAGCAGCTCTGCAGGGATGACAGTAACACACCTATATAAGTTTTTTTTTTTTAAGTCAGTGGCTTAAAGCATTGTAACAACTCTATATGCATAATTATCCAGACTTCAAGCTCAATTTTCTAAATATAACCATGCTGAAAACTCAGTATTAATCTATTATCTAAAATAATATGGAGACAGCAATAATGAAATACACGCTCAAGCATATAAGTGGATTTAGATTACATTAAGCCTGTATGCTTCTATGTAATTCTTAGCAACAACAGAAAAGAACAGAGAAATCTTACAAGTTGATTATCACATTGGGACACCCTCCAGTAATTTATTTCAGCCTATTTCTTTTCAAATAATGCTTCAAAATCACCTTTTCCCACTTCCTTACTGAATTTCTTCAGAGGGTTTTGACTTGTTTCGAAAACATCACCATATGGAGAAATTTCTCTTTTTCGTGGTGATTTGCTGTAGGAAATTCTTCAATATTTCTTTGTTTCTTTTATCATTTTGTTTCCTCACCAGTGAAATACATAAAATGATAGTCGTTCTAACAAATAATAGTTCTTGAGAATAATCTTTTTTATTAACTTCTATTATAAGACCAGGCATAAATGAATGAAATGCAGATAGTATAGGTAGTGACATTAACATTTATTAAGGAAGCCCAGTGTTGGCTCACTTCTTTCTGTTAATATAGTATATAAACAACAGAGGACAAAGAACTGAAGTCACAGGATCTTCTCAGGCTGGATACGCAGGCTGTGAAGCTACCAGCTGTCTTTGGATGAGGAGGTATTGGCTGCAGGCTGGTCTCATAGGGAGGGGGACTAAATTACTTGGAGACACTGCATGTGCTAGGCGCTCAGCTAGGTGTTTTATCTATTTTTATTTATACGATCGCATGAAAGCTCTGTGGGATACGAAAGATCTTTGCTAGATAGATAGTGAGGCTCAGAGATGGTGTGATTTAGCCAAGGCTTCGAAGCTAGTATGTGGCCGAGCAGCCTGCCAGACAGTCTGCTTCTCTTCTCCCATAGCCCTCTCACTGCTGGCCATAAATGCAGGTTGTTTACATCACTTGAGTTTTGAGAAGCAGCCACTTCTCAGTATAATCACAGAGTTTGGATCTAAGTAAACATTTTTGACAGGTATTTTCTTCAGTGTGCAATGGTCAAGAAGAATTGACCAACCATAATTTCACTCATGAGCATATTGCAACCAAAATGTTTTTGTTTCTTTTATCCTCATAGAACACTAACCTACAGATTTTGTGTATATACACGTCTTTTTATTCTGTAGGTCTTATTAGGTTTGTAAGCCATAGCATCACTCTAATTCTTATTAAATGTTAACTCTGCTATTAAATGACATCTTTATGGGACGCCTGGGTGGGTCAGTGGTTGAGGGTCTGCCTTTGGCTCAGGTCGTGAACCTTGGCGTCCTGGGATCAAGTCCCACATCGGGCTCCCTGCATGGAGCCTGCTTCTCCCCCTGCCTGTATCTCTGCCTCTCTCTGTGTCTCTCATGGATAAATAAATAAAACTTAAAAAAAATGACATCTTTACTAGGATTTTTCCTGAGATTAATTTTGGGTGCATGAAATTCCACAGTTACATGGCCCATTCATAAGTAATTTTCTAGTTACAAATTTTATTACTACTACTATGGAGATTGCAATTTAAAAATCATTTTTATTATTCTTAATCTATTGACAATAATCCAGAGTATTTTCATTAGAGATGTTCAAAAGAAGAAATGGAAAAATAGCAAATTAGGGGAAAAGTAAAAGTCTGCAATACTACACATCTCTGCTAACCCCAAATTATTTAACATATGAATTTAAAAAATAGACTTCCTTTTGACTTTCACAGGCCCTAGCACTAATTATAAAAATTAAAACATGCTGTTGCCAAAAATTGAGAAAAAACAGGCATAAAAAATAAAAATAACAACCCTGACATTTTCATGCATTTCCCCAATGTTTCATATTTATAATATTGGAGATTAAACAGTTTTTAAGGATGAATGTCTTAAGAATAGGCAAACTACCATCAACTTTACAAGTATGAATGTACTATATATATTTCCTCTTTATACATATATGCGAGCAAATACCTGCCACTGATATTATTTTAGCAATATTGTTTGAAATGAAATATATTCAGTTTTGCATATAGCTGAAAAATCCCATAAATTCTGGACACTGGACTTATATGCACCTGCAGGAAACTGGCCAGAAAAAGGCTAATTT